GTGAACATTCCTGAATCTCTTACCGTCTTTACGAGAACTGTAGTTCCATTTTCGTGCATATTTATCTGGGGATGAACCTGACAAGTTCGGATCGAACGACTTCAAATAAGTTGCCAACTTCGATGGATCATCGATATTGGCGGCCGTAACAGCAAATTTTATGGACGTATTGTTCAAACCACCCACAATTAAATTGACTTCGTCGGCACCACACAGTTTTAAATTCATTTTCTTTATGAGAGATACTTTTTCAAAACAATATTCAAATGAACTTTGATTTGGCTTAGGATGCAAAGCGAGCATTTCTGTCATTAGACAGTATAAATCTCGATTTGACGCAAAAGTATTTGATAAAAGGATTTTCCATTTCCCCCAACTTTTTGGCATACAAGTTATACTTCTATACCAAGTTTCTGCAGGCCCTTTCAATTTATCAATGGCAAGATGACATATGTGTAAATCATTCCAATGATATATATCTGCATACTCATCTATTTTTGATATCCAAACCAACACATCGTCATTTAAAGGGTTGAACTCATGAACATCTATATCTTTAACTGACATTCCCAATCTACCATGATTTTCTTTCCTCAAGTCATTAACTATTTCTATCAAACCCTCCGAAGAAAAGAGCTCGGGTGTCTGAACACGGTCACCATCACTCATCTGCTCATGAGAGCTGCCACCTTCCCGACTTGTGGTTCTTTTCCTGTCTCCTCTTGTTCGACTTCCTTTCGGTATCCTTGAGGAATGAGACCTAGAACGCTTCCTTTTTCGACTGCTCATATTTGATGAAATTTCACAAGGTATTTGCCGTTGTATAATCCCACTTCTGATGTGAACTTGAGAAAATAAGATAAATTGAATATCCACTTAAACACCCTTTTATTTCAATAATAATTAAGAAAGTTGCTGAACAACGAACTGTACTCCTATCTAAAAGGAAACTAACATTATCTCTTCCAAATCCTTCCACCCATACCTTATCTATTTTTATGAATTCTTAACTACCAAAAAAACAATGCAATAAAAGAAATGTGTAATTCTGCCCGCAGCCATCATTTGCCTTCATCGTGGCCGTCGACAGTGATGCCAGTTCACACATGTTTGTTACTGTTTTTTCTATGAGTAACCTTCGTCCATCCCTTTTTGTCTAAAACTTTTTCCTGCAGTAGTTCGCGTTTTTTACGTTTTGCCGGTGTCGAAATTACGGTTACTTTTGACGAGCACGAGATGTATGATTGATCTAAATCATATACTTTGACATCATCTCTCTTATCAGGTTGATAGTTTGAGGTTGTGCACATCCACTTTCAAGCTGATTATCTCATCCATTAATTTTGGCATTTATTTACAATGGGTATATCTGCAATTCAACCCTCAATAAAAGGCCTATCTATACTTCTATTGTTACCTTCCTCAAGACCGTTTATTTTATTTCTTCATGGCTACAATCCAGTTCAAATACCAAGATTTCTAAAGATAACGTGACATATATCTGCTTCCCATCTATTTGAAATTATGGCAGCTATCATCTACAATCTTTACTAATTTCTCTGTTTGCCGAATTCGAACCTTTTCAAAGATGTTCGGAAAATACGTGACTTGACAATAATTCCAGCCTAGCCTTATATATTACCCTCTCTCAGAAAAAATATTTTAGGGGATAGGACCAAGTGGAAATTGAATTCAGTCTGCTTCACAGACTACAGAAACATTAGATAGGCAACTGTATACTTGTAGATACAAAATACTAATGCTCCACAGGTCCGTAGCGGATGTTACCCGAACTACATAAAGAAAACTGTAATCCCGAGTATTTGAGGGCGGGCTTTTTAAAAGTTCGCTCCAATTTGAATAGTAAAATTTTAAATGTATGCACATAAAGTCAACATCATATGAAAGTTCCCTCTCATAATAGATGTAATCGAAATTTTACTTATGAATTGTTTGTATTTAAAAAAACAGCTTTTACTAACATTTTTGAAAATTTCTAAATATAACAGGTTTCAAGTAGCAATTAAGCGGGGTTAATTTTCAAATTTGTTAAGCAAAAACCACCTGAAATAAAATTTCGATTACATTTATAATTGAAGAAAATTTTCAAATGGTGCAGCCTTTATAGCTGTCAGTATCTCGCTCTCTCATCAGCACCCCCTGTCGGATGTTTCCCTAATATTTACATTTTGGCGGGAAAGCTTGTGTTACTTTTCTATTGTTTACAATCAGTATTCTGTGATCTGCTTCCGAGAGTACGAGTAACAAGACATAACGTCTTACAGTTCATCGTTTGCAAGTACCATAGAAACATCTTGTTACAAGACATATCGTCTTACCAGAAACTGTTAACAATACCAATCTCGTCTAAGTTTTTTACCACACATTTCTTTGTTTTCATATAAACTTGACCAAGTAGGCAGTTATAATTTCGCTTGTTGGGGAAATATACATAACAGTTTTTATAGTATTATAAGGTGTTACCTTTTATGTAAAAGTATACATTTGAATGCATAAGTATTTCTTGCAATCACCCAGTACTGTGTGTTAGCTTACACTTGATAATATTTTCTTGTCGAATATAATAAGTAATAAAAAAATGGTAATAAAATAAATCCGGCCTGTTATTTCTGGACTGGATAGTGCTGGTAGGAGAATCAGGATCGGGCTGTTGTTCGCCTTCTTTCCGTATAGTGGTCGATCTGTGAGGATTTTCGGAAGATTGGAGATTTCATAGTTCCAACCAACGAAATTATAATTTCATCCAGTTAACTCCGGGGTGGAATAATAATATTGGGATTTATTTTTATTTCCAGCTTTACCGGTAATTACAGGGTTCGATAACCACACCTACAACCCTAAAACAACTGATTAGCACGAAAAGAATAAACAATAGATACCACTTACCCCACTAAGGGAGGGTTGAAATATCAAAAAAAACTCCTTGCTAATTCCTTGAATTCGCCAATAAATGAAGTGAAAATATATTGGTATTCGACTTCATTCAAATAATAAAAAGTTTGGAGAGCCGGTAGTGGACAAAAAACTACCAGAAGGTGTTATATCTTCATAAATGATACTTCTTCACGAAACTTATCTGAAGGAAGTGAGTAGACACCTTGTCAGAGTGGCACTTTGAGTTTCCTCCAATATTCACAGATATGCAATTTTATCAGCAAACGAACTCGCTTTATGAATTCACCTCCAACTCTGACCATCGGCCATTTTTCACGATTAGCCTTGCGCAGATAGCATGACTGAGTATAATGGTGCCGTCTCTGATAGATAGGAGTACTCCTTCAGGATTTAAAAAAAATCTTAAATGATGGGACACAATGCAGAATAAATCTAAGGAGACTGTATGAAATATATAACAATAGGTGAATATCCAAAATATCCTAAGGAAACAATTATGAAGAAACAGTAGCTAAATACTTTATTTGAATTCTACCACAGCTGACGTGGTTGCGTTAATCTATTCATATATTCAATTCAATCATTTCACATTTATTTGATCACGATTGAGTGAAATATATTTTTAATCATCCTCACTTTTCAGTACTTTTCCTGAATGAAAGAAAAATATATGATAATTAATTATAGGAAAATTCCTGATAACAATAATTTTTAGCCAGGCAACCAGCATTACTCGTATGATGGTTATCAGTTGACTAATCCTTCAGTTCAGCTGGCGTTAAACTTTTTGTCGCACTTTGAATTGATTTAAAGATACCTACAAGCATCCTCAAGAACTGATTTCTTAGAAATTATATATACACAGGGAAAACAGAAAGTAGCATCTACGAATGCTACAACACAATGAAAATTCTATTACAAAAAAAAATCTACTAGTTTTTTTTGTATCACACCAAAACACTTTTTTGACATCCCAATTAATATTATTTAGCACGTGTTGTTACTAATAAATGATTTTCGACTGTACATGAGCATGCGCACTCGCATACCTTCAACGGTCAGGTAGCGAGCAACTACTATGTTCTGTCCTGTTCTATAACACGGACCTCGGACTCTCTACTATATCTCTCGCACCTATCAAATAGCCCCAATTCTAAAACTTTATAGCTTGACAATAATATTTCATGTACGATTTTCTGCAGGTAAGCCATATATACTATTGATTTTGTAATTAAAATATCTTAAGATATAAATTTCGATTGGTTATCAGATAGGTGTAGAGGAACGCCCGACGTTAATAGCAATAGCCGCCGGTTAGTTTTTGAGGGCCCTCATGCAAAAATTCAGTTAGGAATAGTCAGACAAAACACTTTTTACCGATCGCGAAAGAATAGCACCTAAAGGCTGACTTTTGACCAAAAGAGGTCAGATGTCAATCTTGCTGAAGTGCCCAGTAAGTTGAGGACCGCTCGGAGAACGGAGGTGGATGGAGTGGGGTAGTAGGTTCTCCTCGCTAAATAGCTGGGGGGGGAAGCTTCTACTTCAGGGCACTCAACCCAGGAGGGGGCATGAGGGGATAGGTGTAGTTACCTGATATTGACTCAACTGTTCACCTCTGCTTGCCAGGTAGCCAATCACAGAAATAAGTAGGCAAGCCTACCTAGGCATATTCTGTGTGTTAAAAACTATCGGTTGAGATGGAATTTATTCGGATATGAAAAGAGCTAAGGTGATGGAAAACAATTATTAAAATTGATTAAAATAAAAATAGCTATGTAAACTTTTCGATAGGCAAGTTATATCATACTTAGGCATGTTTGTTAATAAATTATATATGAAAAAAATATGTCTCAAGTTATCTGATGGGTGAAGGTCGATCTCCTACGGTCGCCTTGTCACCTCTACTATCAATATTATATATTATTGACTACTGGGAACAATTCCATGAGTTCTATCGATTTACTATAATGTGAAAAATAGTAAGCTGAAATGTGGGTGGATAGATTCAATAAAATTCAACATTTACCGTTCAAGCTGTATATTTTTTTCATAAAATGCACACATAATACTGTAATAAATATTCATAACATTGGCAAAATTCATAATAAAACAATTTTAAAGTTAAAAACATACAATCACACACAAATATTGATTTTTGTCTTCTGCATAATGATCAAACGAGTCCAGGTTCGTCATTAGAAACCACCACCCATCCACTGTTTTCACCTTGAAAAATAAAAACAATTCAGAATTATTCTGAAACATCGATTCCAGAAAATCAAAATTTCCTAGGCATACGAGGTATGGCTAGAAAATAACAGTACTTTTAGTGTAACTATTTTTATTTTTTTTTATATAACTACCACCTCCCTCATCATACTCCCCTATTATTTTCCGCTGTTCAAAATAGTGTTTTGGGTAATTTTTCGAAAGCATGTTCATAGTCTTGGTCGCTTTTTCCTTCATAGCTTTCACACTATGAAACAGTGTTTTCTGCAATTTCTGGAACTTTTAAAAATCACACGACACTAGATCTGATGAATAGGGTGATTGTTCTAACACAGATATCCTATATTTGACTGATAATAACTTTAAAAACCGGTTGAAGTGTAGTGGAGAATGTTGAGCGATTGTTTGTCTCGCAGAACACCAGGATCGTTACTTTTTAGCCACTCCTCATATATGGAAATATAAAAAACAAGAAATGAGTGAGTAAGTGCCAGGTTATTTTCCTAGGTTTCACAACTGAATTATGATATTATAAAAGTACTCATAACTATGATGTCTGAACATTGTTTTTTTTTTAATTTCGACAATAAAGTAGATAATGATATGGAAAGATTATAGTTATACACATTGTAGGTGTAGATTCAGTTACAGAAAAAGTGGAATTTTGAGATTCGGACTACCATTTACTAAAAACTATTTGGAGAAATTCATGATTTGTGAAGATACTAAATCCAGTAAACGAAAGCATATTAATGTGTAATCGCTCTCATGAATTTGATTACGATCAAGTGAAGCTTTTTTCGAAATGAAATTCACACGAAATTATTGAACTATGCTCGTTCAGCAGATTTTATATACTTATACCGGTAATTAGTGAATTTTGAGATGACGCATGGGGATCTGAAAACAACGTTATAGAGAATGGACTGTTCAAAAAATAAGGTGAACGTTCAAATTTCTCAGGCTACATACATTAGATTCACGATTTTAAAACTTTTTCATGTTGGTACACTTGTCTCGCACATAGGTTCACAGTTTCAGCTATTTAGCATGTTCAGGGAGTTGGTGGGAGGCATAAAAAGTAGAAGTATTTTGCGTGTTCGGCGATTTTATGCAATCGAAAAAAAAATGGTTGAAAGCATTTGCATCAAATTTTTTGCAAAAAATTGAACTGAGTTCTTAAAAACACTTGAAATGTTGATAGTGGCATACGGTGATTGTACTTTGAGCCAGAAAAACGTTCACAATCTGGACGCCCCAGCACATCAACAACCGATGGAAATGTTGAGAAAGTGAAGAAAATTGTTATGGAGAATCGTCGAATCACTATTAGAGAAGTTGATGAGGATGTCGGCATATCGGTTGGCTCGTGCCATGCAATTTTTTCGGTAATTTGGAATATTAACCGTGTGGCAGTGAAGTTCGTTCCAAAATTGCTGAATTTTGACCAAAAATCCGTCGTATGAGCATCGCTCAGGAAATGTTGAATGACGTCAACGGCGATACAGATTTGCTAGAAAGGGTTATAAGTGGTGACGAATCATGGGTATACCGTTATGACATCGAAACCAAAGTCATATCGTCCTACTGGAAGATGAGAAGAGAGCCAAGACGCTGAGGGAGATTACTTTGAAAGGGCAAAATAGAAATTATTGAATAAATGAATATTTTTTGAGAATAATGAAAATTCACCTTATTTTTTAGATGAACATCGTATATACTAGCATAGATTTTTAAAACATTCCATCGCTCTTTCGTTGCAAATTTTAATGGGTTCTCGATATATGTGTTTCATAGGGTGTTGGTTTCCTTGAGCCTCCCCAAACTTTGAATCTTTAAATACGAGCGTGTATTTGTCATTACTGTTTCTCAATGTTCAGTAAATAATATCAATGAGATTATGCTGAAATATCAAACTCAGCTCTGATTTCTAGGTCATCATTCGAACAAGTCGGCTTGACCTATCTTTTCAGACTACTTCACTACTGTCACATAACTTTGGATATATTTTCAAGAGTACCTGAAGATGAATAGAAGAAATATAAATTCAGTTCTTTTATGACTATGGAAAAATAATTGTTCCTTGTTGAGTAAGTAGAAAAAATGATCCATAACTAATACCTTCGAAAAAATCACAGTGGACCAGATTTATAACTCACTACCTTCGAGGTCAATCACAGAGAAAATTTATAACTACAATTATTCTCTATCGCGAGTATAAAAGTTATTGAATTTGAAAATTAGTCACTCAATAATGACATGAGGATTGAGAGGAACTTGAATAACTTGATTCTAGAAACAGTCAATTTCAAGATTCTCAATAAACAGTTTTACAAAAACGCAACTTGTGTTTCGCTATGAGATGGCTCCTTCAGACGTGTCTATATTATTTCTTGTTGAGTAAGATATGTCTGAAGGAGCTAGCGTGAAGCGAAACACGTATTGCGTTTTTGTTAATTGTTTAGTGAAAATCTCATAAGAAAGTGTTTATTGAATACGTTATGGATGTTCATCAAGTATCGGCCGATTCCATCACATAAGTAACTTGAGATCACTTCGATTTGCTTCGTGAAGTACTGTTAGAACGGTAGACTTGTATGTTTCAATTCAGTAATGGGTTCAATTATCTCTTATGCTAGATTCCTTTAACGTTATGAAATATCATTCAATGCTTTTTAGGATGCTTCTTGTTACGAAATTCAATGCTATTTCTCTCATTATCAACCTCGTTATAAAGAATGTATTGTAATTGAGGTCTGTAATGACCACAACGAAAAATTTCATTTTCCACTGAGGAACTAATTTACTGTAATGAGCATTTTGTCATATTTTTACACGCTTTATATTAGCTTCACCTGTATGTATGTTTGTTTGTTTGTTTATAACTCTCAAGTTCAGGATCTGTATTGACAGAATTATCGACATTATTGCTTGATCTATTCGCGGGCAGATGGCGCTGTACGTAACCTCCTTGATAGGTTGTTCAAAAGAAAATGAAAATAATAAATATAGTTTAAAAAACTAAAAAACACGCTTTTATAGCATATGAAACCAAAAAGTAAAAAATAAGTAGGTATAGTTTTAAACAACTCAGTGTCGTCGGTGATATGATGAATATCTCAATAAATACAGTTTAAGAAACTAAAAAAACACGTTTTTAAAGAACATCGAACTGAAATGTTAAAAGTAAATACAGTTTTAAGAAACTAAAAAAAACGCTTTTGAAGAACATCGAACTAAAAAGTTAAAAATATTTTTTTCAAATAAGCTGGAAATACAAAAACTTTGGCACAAAGCGCATACGTTTTTTTCACAATAATACTAGTATATTTCGATCGTTATTGTTTTAAGTTTATTTAAAAAAATATTTTCAACATTTCAGTTCGATGTTCTTTAAAAGCGTGATTTTTAATTTTTTCAAATTATATTCATTAGAGTTACCTTCTTCCAATTTTTCTGTGACCGTTTTCAGTTCTTTTTTCAATTTTTCGATTTCCGCCACATACGATGATATCTCTGAAATAAAATATAATGATTGGAATAATTATTTCATATTTGAAGAGAAACTGAATTCTCAATACCTTTTCTTTCTTAGGAAATCAATCAATCAAAATCAAAATCAATTCCTTCAAAAATCAAGTTCAACCAAATTTCATTTGGTAATCATTAGAAACAGCAAGAGTTGTAATTTTCGATTGAAAATTAGTATAGAGTATCTTTACCTGTTTTTTTTTCTTCTTCAAGTTTCTCTATAATACCTTTCAAACTTTCTATTTCTGATTGATTTAGAGATTTATTTGATCTTTCATTCATTACCATGTCATCTGAAATCAAAAATAATCAATAATTGATGAAAAAAACATTTTATTTTAATACTCTTACTCTTCTCTCCTTCGAGAGTTTTTATGACATTTTTCAGTGTTTCGATTTCCTTGTTCTTTTCTTCTTCTAGAGTTCTTATGCTATTTTTCAACGTTTCAATTTCCTCAACCTTCTCTCCTTCTAGGGATTTTATTTTATTTTTTAATGTTTTGATTTTCTTTACCTTCTGTTCTTTGAGGGTTTTCATGTCATTTTTCAATGTTTTGATTTGGTTACCCTTCTCTTCTTTAAGAATTTTTATGGTATTTTTCAATATTTCCATTTCCATTACCTTCTCTTCTTTGAGGTTTCTCGTACTATTTTTTAATGCTTCCATGTCCTTAGCTACTTCTTCTTTGAGGTTTTCCGTGAACTTTTGTAAGTTTTCGATTTCCATACTATTTTCTTCTTCGAGAGTTTTTATAGTTTGTTTCAATTTTTCGATTTCCTTTTTTTGGAACGTTATATGGGAATCTTTCGATTCATCTGAGGACAAATGTGAAGTACAATAGAGAAAAATAGTAGGTAGGGAATGCATGGTACCATTCACCGATAGTGAAAATATTTTATTAAAAAAAACCTTTCAGTTTTACATAGTAGATCATCTGCAAGGACTGAGTGCTTTTTTCAAAGTTACCCAGAAAGGGGCTGATGAAGAGTTGAAAATGGCGTTTTAGCCCGAAATTTCGAAGTACATTCAGAAATCGAAAGTTTCCTATGTAAGTGAAATTTCATATCAATACTCTTTCATATTCTTGTCTGAAAATGATATTTGTATCAGTTCCATTTCTTTCCGTATGTATCTATGTATGATCTATACATTTTTGTTCCTGCCTTTTTTTGGAGGTTTTTCATTTTCTGTGTGATGATAAAAAAGTAGAAAGCCAAGTTCCTTCTCAAAACCTAATCTCTCTTAGGTTAGGTCCAAAATGAGTGGGTCTATTCGACCCTCCACCACAACCCGCAAGGGTTTATTGTGGCTCAATATCTTGAACTCTCTTAAGAAATATTAGTAGATGTATACAGCTGATTCTCGGCCTCCCCCCACCACTATGACGTATTCATTGCTTTTTTATTGGTTGTTGTTTGGTGATTTTTTTGTTGTGCAGTGAAGTCAAGGCGTTGTGACCTTGAAGTGTCTGGTGCATGGATCGTTCAGATTTTTTTTCATATGAGATTTTGTGTGTGTATGTGTGTGTAAGAGAATGCACGGTACAGGGTTTCATCATGTGCTTGTTTGTCTATGTACAAACATGCGTCTGCATACTTCGAAGATCCTCCAAGTAATA